CTAGGTTCGCGCAGCTCATCATAGCCCAATCTCTGTTGTCAGGGTTTAGATTCGCCTTGTTAACGCTGGGATCGATGGACGAGTGGACGTGTACAGCGTGTGGGTGTGATGGGTTGTTTGATAAGGGCATGTGGCATGATATAGCTCCTGGGTTACTGGTCTGATGCATCTGAGTTTCTGCATCTGAGTTACTGGGGTATTGGAGTTTTGATGTTTCGACGTCCATTTTGTCCAGAGCTAATTGAGGACGAATGTTGACTGTATGGATATTACAAAATTCTCCAGTGATTGTAAAAGTTCATACCTATGCCATACTAGTCACCCACTCTTGTACCAGTTAGGTTAGTCTTATGAAAATGTAGTTAATATGTACTTAGTAGATGCCATACTTTGTACCTCTGGGTTACAGGGTACTGGAGTTTTGATGTTTCGCGAAAAATAAACTGAGCCACATCTTTGGCGGCCACCAACATCACCCCTTGCTGGGTTATTTGGGGGTATCTAATATGATGATGATGGTGGTGATGACAACTTGACAACAACCTCAGTGCAAAGCAAGTATCAGGAATTCAATTGTGAAATAGGCAGTTTCTGAGTTACTGGGTCCTGGAGTTTCGATGTTTCGCGAAAGCAAAACCCACAGCTTGGCAACAATCACCGTGCAAAGGTGTCAGGAATTCCATTGTGACATAGACATAAAATAAAACATAAATGTGAAAAAAACTTGGAACTGTGGATCTGGTAGTTCCTGTATTACTGGGTTCTGGATGTTTGGCGAAACCAAAACCCACAGCTTGGCTACAATTACCGTGCAAAGGTGTCAGGAATTCAACTGTGAACAGACATGAAATGAAACTTCAATGTGGAATAAAGCCTGAAACTGTGGAGAGAATTTTATGATGTAACAGTCCTCTCACTCCATCTACTTTAGTCGCAGAGCCTCTGGAGGGGGATTTATCATGTAATATCAACTATGTAATACCTGTCACCCTCCATGCAACTATTCCCGGAAGTAATGAATACGTCGCAGTGCAACAACTTCAGATTCGCAGCTAAGAAAAAATGTCCAGACCTTTCCTCTATCATGATATCAAGTCTGGAATTCGACATGGCTTTTGAGAATGACGCTGGCCACAATCTTCTGGCCCCTCACGTATAGCCACAGCCTATCGCTGACATTCTCTACAGATTCGCCTGCCATCACATAGCAGAGTTTCGGCAATCTAGAAACATTCGCTGAAGTTGCCGGTACATCAGGCTGTGTATGCCATGAAACTACAACTAAAGCTGTGAGATATTCTGACCTTTCTCCTTAAAAATGCAGCCGAACCGCGCAGCCGGACACAAATTGGGTCTGTGAATCCCTGCATGTGAATATCTAGGTCTGTTCATCATTGAGGTCTTATAGAGGCTCGAGCTCTGGGCAATTGCTTAGGCAAAGGCTTTCCCTTCATCTTACTGCATGTCTACCGATGGATTAGCCCTGTTGTAGCCAGAGCCGTGCCTATATAGTTCTATGCCTGTATGGCCATGAGTTAGGATCAGGCACGGTTCTGGATAGTCTTCGCGAATACAAGAACATAGATTTGCCCCCAAGCACGGTTCTGGATACGGGTGGACTATCCATAACCGTGCCTGATGAGAATAGTTCTGGATACGTACAGGTCCAATCATTAAAGCTTGCACATCCCAAAATAAGATGGGGAACAACGCATTATACACTTTTCATTATGGGGACTTAAACTTCATGACGATTAATCAAATATGTGAATGATACTAAAACATTTCAAGAAAGAAAAATACCTCTGCTGCTAATGTATCTCTGTATGACGTAATTATTTTCAGTTGTCTAGATTCTTCAATTGTGCAACGCGCCAGTTTTAAGAACTTGACAACTTCTCTATCTTGGAGAAAATTTGTTTCAGATCTAAACAGAAAGGTCAAAAGGACCTTTCAATGAGACGCACCTCTTTAAAGTGAATGCGACCTTTATCAGGTCACGGTGAAGCATTATTTCCGGTGCTTGCGGCATTAGATCCAGTGGTTATGGCATTTAGAGCCGGTCAGCCCGACTACTCAATGATAAAGACTCCCCAAGCGACGGTAAGAGAAAACCATAACCTTTTGTGCGCGTATTTTATGGACCTTTCGATCGCAACACTCAGCAAAAAAGGACGTATTGGAGTGAATTCCCGGCGCTAAAGTGCAGCTGATTTATCAAATTACCATTTATACGTACATATTTTCTCCCTTTCATGTTTCAGTTATTGGCGTGGGTGGGGTTTCCGTGGAAACAGGATTATAGTCATTGTATATAACCTTTTGAATAACCTTCAAGTACATTATCATTAGAAGTCCAGTGGCATATCTGAAAAGTTGTGCATCTTTGTCTAAAATCGCCAAATTCGGCACACATGTAGTTTAATGTATTCTAAGCAAATTTGGATACGGAAGCATTCCAAATTCTACCCAGGAGCTATTTTCTGTAATTTTTCCTATTTGTAACTATAATATATATATTTTTGGGTCTTGTGTCATACCTGAATTTAGCCCAGTGTGGCAAAAATGTGCGATAAGTGTTGGAATTCATGACAAGTGAAGCAATTACAATACAATTTTGCGCAAACATGTAACTAAGTAATTAGAATCCTCATCAAGTTCAATGCCCTTGACTGAAAACTTCTGAACTTGCGTTGACAGCCGTACTCAACAAATGGCATTTAAAATGATGTCTCTCTAGTCTTCTAGGACCCGCGAATGAAAGAAAGAGATTTAAGGATCGGCAAGTCTCTAGTTTGAAGATTACCTGCATAAACCTGTTGAATGACAAGTAGCTTTGTTGCATCTACCGTGTCCCAAAAGACAAAATATTATTACGTTCGACATTCCATAAGAAGTAAACGGCATTAGAAGCACTTAGTGTTGTTTTTGCAATGATCAACAAAATAGTGTTACTTATAATTAAAAACGATACAGATTAGTATAGTATATCCCTAACTTATATAGAGTAGATTGCTTTATAATGCCGGATACATTGTGAGAAGTTTGATTATTTCAAACGTTGACTTCGAGTTCATATTGATCTGCAACTAACAACGCGCTTGCACCGAATCCCGCGGGTGCTTTCTTTATCAAAAAGGCATTAGCAGTCACATGCCATTAATACAACTGATATGTTCCTGCATTACGCCGAGGATTACACTAAGGGAATACACAGATTCCCGTAGCGTTGCTTCCAACCCATCAGCGTGGCCTTGGAAATGGCTCCTGATCCCTTGCCATGTCGTTCTGGCAAATAGCTGGGGTGCCAGCTTCAGCCGTTAATCCTGGAGGTGCCGCTGTCCAAATTGTGTACTCAGACAAAACATAATGCATTGATTTCCCCATTTTACCGGAGGTAATGTCTGTCCTTAGCTTTACTCGATCAGGCGCTGTTGAAATAAGGTGCGATCAATGGCGCTAGGAAAGGTTGCAGGTGAGGGCCTCGTGGGATAGGAAGCAGGGCTCGAAATAATTTTTCCTGCATACCTAGCCTGAACCTGTGCAGGTAACGTTCAAAATTACCACTCAAAATTAAGGAAGTCTGATCACACTGAAAACATAAGGAAGTCATAAAATTCCATTTAAAGTCATAAAAATGTAACAAATAGGTTATAACTTTGTACATAAGGAAGATACTTAATTATGAGTAGATTATACCCTATATTTATGGCAAGAAGTGTCTGTATCAAAATCCGACGTATTTCATGGGACATTTTTCAATGTACATGCAAGTCGATTTTGAATAGGACTGAACTGAACTATACTAAAATAATTCAAAACCATTTTTCTAAGAAATGTAATCCCCCGATTGTTCCAAACCAAACTGATTGTAACAAAATAATTTTTATATTATACCCAAGGGGCGACAAAAAGGAATCTGCCTTTATTTCAAAATTTGGCAAAACGTTGATATGATTGTTATTCGTGTCACGTCCTGAGCAGGTATACAGGAGGAAACAGGTACACCACACGGTAAAGCCTGCCATAGATTACCCTCGTGACCAAAAGCTCTTGTGCTCTCAAACACGTGAAATTAAGGTTGGCTGAGGTCGCGAAAGATCAAAGCAGCCTGCGACGTATAAAAGGGGAGTTTTTACGAACCGTATGTATTTTGCTTTACAAGCTACACCCCAGAGGGTGGGCAAAATTGTACACATGTTGCATAACATAAATGGGAAAGCATAAACGCAATAGTCGCTATGATATGGGAGGAGGAAATGGATTTGTTGCTATAGTAACCGCAGGAAGTAAATTGAATGGACAAACCAAGAAAAAAACAAGAATATGTACATTATAAAGTATATCATGGAGACTAGACATAAACACAATAGTCGTCTTGAATGATAAAGGTCTAAAAGGAGGAAGAACTAATTTTGTTGTTATAGTTACCACTTCTAGAGGCCAGAGTACGGAGAAAGTAAATTGAATGGACAAATTAAAAACAAAACTATCTTAAGGCATAAAACTACAAGTAAAATCCTTATGTAGTCACACATTCAGAAGTGGAACTGCTACCGTAATTTATTTTCGAATTTTCAATCTAAATTTGTGCGTTGTATTTTATATTTTTCAAAAGACAATCAAGCATACCTAAACATACTCGTCTGGTACTGGTATTTTTGCATGCATGACGGGTGTAGAGATTTAGTCGTGTTCCGTGAAGTCCGTGGTAACTCTAAGTCAAAGTTCGATTTCCAGAGCGAATATTCACCAGGTGTTAGGAAAGTCTTATTGTGCGTGTCGAATAAGCCATTATATCGACCTTGTAAATTCCTTGCATTGACCCTATATACTGAGTTAACTGGTTTATATGAAAGTATGTGGAGAGTTGCCAGTGATGATAATAGCAAGTATTCTGTTTTCAAGGAAAGCCTGCAAAAATGTATGCAACATATATATGATTTACATTGGAAATACATAATTTTCATATCAAAAACAATTGATATTAGGACAAATATTGCATATTTTTGCTTATAGTTTACGAAACCGATTCAAACATGCGTAGCGAGGTTCGCCTAAGGCCGCTTAGATCAATACTGAAGACTTTGGCAAAGTGTACTTCTCTCGTTCGAATCAAGGACTGTTTCTGGGTCCTTTCCAGGAGGAAAAGAATGTTAAGCCCCCTTTCCCACATGTTAGAAATCCTCCATTTGCACCTTAAACCTACTTCTACCTTAATATAATCAATGACGCGTCTAGACCCAGACCATCAAGGAAAACATTTAAACTGCAACACCACCACCATAGGGAGTTTGCAACATTAACGGCTTTTGATTTGCCAAATGGCACGCGTCCAGTTTTGGCACAGAATCCTTTGGAATGGTGGTAATAGCATTAAAGTTAAGATAGGCTTTATTCTTTACTCTCCCATATAACTAAAATCAGCAGGTGAATAAGGAAGAAAAACACAATCGTCACCAAGGTATTCTAACACCACCAACATCAGAAAATTGTTAAAAGATGCTATTTAGAGACTCGGGGGTTTCCATTAAAATAACATATTTGATTTCTTTTCTATGTGATCAAAAATTATTATCTTTTAAATCTCAGGGAAATGATTGACTTTGCATGCTATTTTGCGGAGACAAAATTATCCCCTTTAAAAATTATAGTCTGGATTACTGTTTAAAGTAATGAATAAAAGTTTAAAAGACATAGAAAAATCGCCTGTATAACAGGCAAGTGCTAGGAGAACGGACAACTTTTATGTCCCAGAACACGTCTGTTCTTAGAACACAAAGTTCTAAGAAATCGTCTCTGTGTTCTTTTTAACCCGTCTGTGTTCTTTAGAACACGCCTGTTCTAAGAACACGTCAGAACACATCTGTTCTTAGAACACATCTGTTCTTTAGAACACATCTGTTCTTTAGAACACATCTGTTCTTAGAATACGCCAGTTCTAAGAACACGCCTGTGTTCTTTAGAGCCCGCAGCTTGTCGCTAGTCGAAATGAGTTTGGAGAACTGGGTGGTCGGGACGACCCAAAGCCGGCTTCAGATTCTCCCAGTGTTCACGGCTCGCCCTTTAATGCAAATGAACAAAGCAAGGATTAACAGAGTGTGTACAGTTTTGATTATCGAGTGTTTTTGTTACATGCGAGTCAATGATATCTATTTGGAAAAACCATTAAGTAATAAATAATAAACTATGCACTACTGAGCAATACTTTATGTTATCTAGCATTACATTATATCATTCATTTGAAGACCACAAATTTCTTAATAAGGCACCGATGTCCATGTCTTCTTATTAGATTGTACAGCCGTTGAAATAAAAATCACTCATGGTACGGATTTTCGACCGCACTGTATCGACGTGCGTTTCACCTTTGACCCACTTCTAATGTCGCATTGACAGGAAGTTGACTGATGTATATGGTAGCTGATTTGTGTGGGTCATTGGAGACCACAAGTTTTTATTTCATTTTCTTGGTCCCAAAAATGTACAGCATGTTTCTTACTCACATAGATGAGCTTTTATTAAGAAGTACTCACCTTCTCCTTATGAAGTCGAACATGCTTCCGCTTAGAGCACCACCCCACGGCTCGTGTTTGGCACTGGCCTTGGGTAAGCGCCCCCTTTCTGGTGCCAGCTGAATGACAATTGTAAACATAAACATGACACCTGATACTAACAGGAATAAACTAAGTAACTCAATAGTTGTAAAAATGAACATACCTTTGTAGAGTTTGCATAAGAAAATGTCTAAATCAATACCTCAAGTTAGCTCTGCTTTGATTAACAAGATAGCAGAAACTACCCAATAGAATTATAAGTTGATAAAACAATTTTGAAAAAGGAAGTGTAGTTCTTACCTCCTCCGCAAGGGCGCGTATGTGATACGGCTCGAACCCACAGCACCCGCCCAGGTACCTGACACCCAGCTCGTACGCCGCACGCGCAAACTTCTGGACGTCATAACGGGTCAGCAGACGGGGCTCCATGGCTAAAAGAAAGAAAATTATTGTGTTCGATTATTGTTGCTGAAGTATAAAAAACAACAACGGTAAAAGCGCAGGGAAAAGTAGACAGTATGTAGGTTTTAAAAAAAACAAAGCATATGTTGTAGACAACTTTTCCTTCTCTCTCATCTCGACCGTTGGTGCACCACAGATGATCTGACAACCAGTTTTCTTCACCCTTTTGTTCTTTTTGTTTTCTGTTCATAATGTCATGCTGGTACGTTATTCTCTTATATTATCCTCCTTATTTCCTCTCTGTACTGTTCCTTGCATTATGGTTTCGGCTGGTCCGAAAGATCATTTCTTGGTTAGTAGGTCTTTTTATGAATCTATGTTTCGTTTCGCACTTTTCATACACTTTTGTACTGTATAGTCTGTATGACATCAAGATGTGTTGGGACTGTACGACTTTCTTTGTCCTTACCGAATGGAGCTTCAGGAAGATGAAGGTACCCCTCTAGCATGTCCTCCACCTCCGGACAGTGGTACCCCAGCGGCTGTATCATCAGGTACGGAGACAGGCCGGCCTCCTCCAGGGCAGCCTTCATTGTCTTTATCGTCTTTAGGTCCGTGTTCACGTCGTACATACAGTTGATCCCAACCACGTCGGCTCCTGATAAAGATCATTAAAATCTTTAGAAGCTAGAATTAAGTTACATTTGCAAAGAAAATGTGCACTGTTTGCCTTCACACGGTCAAGCCCATCAAACTAGTGACATATTCTGACTCAAATCTTTGTCAGACACATTCACATGTATGGTACCAGTTCTTCCAGCCCGTCCTGCCAGCTTGCTACATAATGTATTTTAGCACTTCATATATGGTGACCAGCCCCTGGATGCTTGTAATCCAACACGAGTTACCAAGGTGACAGCATCTGGTCCAGGTCATTGACCTTACTTGTTTGGAAGGAACGAACAGGAAACAATATGTTTTCCTTCTGCGACTGTAAACGTATTGACCAGCATTTATTAATTAGACTTGTTGCACCTAGTTGCCCAAATAGTGTGAAACTTTCGGTCACTGACGAATGCTGGTGGATACTAGCTGAAACGTCTGTCGACGTTTCCAAAATCATATCCAGTTGCTTGAGTAACTGCTTTTTGGCGTAGTGTGAAACTTGCCTTGATGGAGATTCTAATCAAACAAAACAAAACGTACCGGCTTTTGCCATCCTGACGGCGCACTCCCCCGGCGGAACCCCGTTCAGGTCACCCTTCGGTCCGATCCGCATGGTGCAGGCTACAGGCTTCCCGGCAGCCTTCATCACCTCTATAGCCCACTCACACTCCTCCACGTGACCCATGAACTAGGGAAGACGGAAAATTCACTTGTTATTTTTTTTAATTTTATTAAGATTTATCACATTTGTGGAAAGATTGACATAACAGGTGATTGTCACCTCTAGTTCTTCAAGATGTCAAACCTTAGACCAGACTGTAAGGTTTCAACCATTCAAGGTTTGGACCCCTGCTCTTATTAATAGTTGTGATGGGATCTTCAACGTGCTCAAGGTGTGGCTCTCTGGCTATCCGAGAGGACGTTCCTACCCGAAGCTGGGTTATTGTTTGATTTACTTTAGGTTTTCTAGATTCTTTATTGACTCGACAAAAGTACAGGGACTTTTGTATGGCTTACTACAACTAGGGTCAAATGAAATGAAATGTTTCACTCATTGTCACTTCAAGAAGGTATTGTCAACAGATCAAGAACTAAATTGAAGCATTTCATTCTCAATTCCTTGCTTAAGATTCAACATTAAGAATCTATACCTCGCAAAGTAGAAAGTCGACTTCTTCCTTGTGTGCGAAGACGTCGACTTGCTTCTTGAACTCCTGTTGCACTACTTCTTTGCCTTTTTTCTCCATGTATGACGGCGTGGGCGAACAACCGCCACAGACAAGGACGTCGTCTCCCTCCGCCGCCACCTCCTGTACGATCTTGCAGGCTGCCTCGTTTAAATCGTGACACTTTTAAGGAACAAAATCATGTAATTTTGAGCCTTTGTAATACATGTATTACTGTGAGGTGTACTTAATTTTTTTCCAGTTTTAGTACCACAAATACCACATAATTATGGTATATAACTATAGCTGATGACTTTTGGGGTCTTCTAAAAGTATATTTTGCAGTTAAGTATGGAATTTTAGTTATTGTCAGTAAGTGTCTAATTGCCAGATTTATTTTTTGCACATTTTTATGACATCACGATGATGTTATCTATAAGTATGGGGCCACGCAATTTGTTAGAAAAACTTTCCAAGTTAGGGCTTCAGTAAAAATCCATGATATTGTACAGTATGGGACAATACATATCTTTCAGCTAAATAACGCACATTGTACTATACTAGATAACACCAAATATAGCTAGGAGGAAAAGCTTCGGAAAAACTCACAGTAACGGACTCGCCCGCCAGGTTGCCGGCCAGCTGAAGCTTGTCGTCCGTGGAGTAGAAGGTAAAGGCCTGGAGAACGTCTGCTCCTGCCCGCATGAACTCTCTGTGCAGCTGTTTAACTAAAGGACAAACATCAAAGATACAAGAATCGTCCGTGACTATTATAACTTTGATACAGAAAAAGGGTTTAAACTTAAAGACATCCATGCAATTTCAATGTGGTAAAACTGTAAAACTTTTTAATGTCAATTTTCTGTTGATTCTTTTACTGTAGTACGTTGAATTAACCTATCCCATGGCTAACTGATATCTGAAAGGCAAAATGCGATGTCGCTGACGGAAAATGGTTGCTTGTTTTAAATCGCAAGGTGGTTATAGCAATTTATGGGAAGTACCCAAAACTGAAGAAAAACCTCGCTTAGCTTGTTTTGGGGCTATTTGAAACCCTTCAAGTTATGAAATGATGACGAAAATCTGCTAAGAAATGCCAGTACGTCAATATCAGACAGATTTCCTCATCCAGAATATTTTTCCGCCCTGAATTCGCCTTGCATACCTTTAATGAACAATAAATCAGAGTTTCCACACTTGAAATATTACGACTGTGAATTTAAATACGTTATACCTCCTTCTGGATGCTCCACGGCCGCCTCCGGTGTCCATGGCCCGCCCTTCACGTACCCTCGCTTCTCCAGGGTAAAGACGTAACTCCCGTCACCAATCACCGGGCCCTCCGCCAGTCGCTCCAGTAACCCTTTCTTACTCATCTTAAATACAAAGAAGAAGGCGAAGAACTTTATTGGTACACGGTACAATATATGTCAACTACTATTGAATATAGCCAAAACACAATTACTGAAAACAACTGGATAAAATTTGAAAGCGTCAGACGTTTCGGACTCTATCCAGAGTACTTAGTCATCGAGCACCCATTTAAAACAAACAAATAAGTAGACAAGTTTCAGCAAGCAAGCAAAACAAATAAACATGGCAATTTTTTGACCCGAAAATTCAACTTCCGTAAAAATTTTAACAGAGGCATCACCATAAATTCGACCACGTGTAACTCTGAACCAAATGCAATCCTAGCATGAGTGACAATGTTTTAACAGAGCTCCTATCCAGTTTTACTGCATATACCCTTGGGGGTACTAGTATTAAGTCACCAAACGTCAGACAATGTTTTTTCAACCTTTGTTCTCAATCTACTGACCATTCATGCACTTAATTATCAGAAAAAAAAACTGGAAAAACAGGATAGTAATTCTAACAACCCAGCCGCACTGATAAGTCGAGCCCCGACCCAAGGACGTGGCGTCACCACGAGGGACTTTGGCCACCCACTGTACTTACAAGATAAGAAAATTAGAGAACACTCGACCTTGTTGAAAAGCGGTGCTGAACAAGCTTTCGAGTTTAAATAAAGGCTTACTACTACTACTACTACTACTACTATTGCACATTAAAAAGGGGGCGTGGCGGAAGGAAAAAAGTGAATGGTTGGGGTCAAACTATATATGAAAAAATAAAATCATTTCTAAAACGCAGATTTGTATGCAAACATTTTTGACAAAGTATAGATTTAGCCCATTTAGTTTTGGTCTACTCAATCCGGTTATATAATCTCCTTGGTCTGCTTCTATGTCCCTAAATGCTAAACATCTACCGAGCAACCTGCCACACCCCTCTTCCCCAGAAGAGAAAAACAACACTCTTCAAGTGTTGTCATCATGAAAAAAAAGTAGTTCATAGGTTGTGTATATAAAGCAACGCAAATATGTTAGAGGCTTTTGTACTAGAGACTGGTCCAAAGATTGTGTTACAGCTATACACGCGAAAACAAAGGTCAGTGTCCTAGTGGTCGAAAATAAGCATGCAATTTAGCTATTCAAAATATGTGTGCGAATGCATTGTACATTTATGTACTTACCTTACGCACATTGTCAATTTTTACGCACATTTTGTAACTGTTGATACAATTGTACTTGTTTTCATATGTACCACCCCCGCTATGCCCATGCCCTGCCCATGCCCCACCCTATGCATTACCTCACGTTTTAGCCCAGTAAAAACATGTGCCCAATAATGGAGAACGTATTTCATCATCCACCATAAGTCATAAACTAATAATATATAGTAATATATAGGGTATAAAGTACACTCTATGACTTGTGCACATGCTTGTCACATAAAATCGGTCTGCACACTGATTTGAGATTCTCATCATGAATAAGCAATTTAAGGTTCAAACAAGTATGATGCAAGACTTCTTTCACTATTTGCAGACAACATATCGTCACGTTTCGAAGTTTAGTTAATAGTCAATCAGGGTTTTTTTTTTTGGAACGAAAACCATCTACTAAACGCGTAGCGCCAATTCTTATAAAAACAGGTGTATTCACCAATCAGTAATCTATGAAGTATGCCCATATATCCAAGTGTTGAAGGCAATCTTCAGCCGTTCTCTTAATTCTTCAGATCTAAGCTATGGGTACTCGGCGCAATTCTGAAAGTTGACGTTAGTCCAAACATTATCATACATACATACAAAAACATACAATACAGCTATAATGAGCAACGAGGTTTGTTGATAAGCAATTTACTCTTATTTGACCTACAACCACAGGTGATACATGTAGATCCATGAATGATGACAAAGCATTTTTGTTTATTTGAGTTTGCTACATGAAGCGTATACTGACTGTTCAAAATGCATTGTCAGGATGAGTTGCTATATGGACGAAACATTTCCATGTAAAACGCAGTATGGAGAAGTGTTTTCAAGTTCCACACTGCAATAAATGATTGACAAAAAATACTGTAACAGTGGATCAGTGGGGGGCGTGGCAGCGTTATGCAATCTATTGCTTAACACAGCAAGTTTCGGGGGTCACTGTGCCTATACAAATATATACCCTGTATTTAGAACCGGTTGTGTCCGGTTGTGGCGGTTAGGCATACCAAATTACATGTTCGGGAGTCGGGTGGAACAGTCAAGTCATTGGTACAGACAAAATGCATTACAAGTTAAGAACACTCGACATTTCAAAATCCAATATCATTCACACGAGTTGTATGTACAAAAATCGAGTCAATGGAATGAAACATATTCAGTAACTTTTTTCTACCGTAAACAATGCGCGTGTTTCACACTTAAAACAAACACATGCAATTAACCCCAAAATTGCATAATTAGCACAGAATAGAACAATAGATACGGTGTCTCTCACTCCAGTTTGTGGAGTGAGTAACCCCCAAAACACTGTCTTAACCCCAAATAAAGTTGGTAGTGCGATACATATACATGTACCCAAGGCCAAGGGCGTACGATTCATGGTGTAAACGTTGCCCAATTTTCAAGAACAAAACTTGAGACATGACATGTCCCACTAACTGTAACAGAACCTACAGCAGTGTTCAGACATACCTTGATCGTGATTTCTCTTGGACTGTCCCTGTAAATATACATATACATGTATCCAAGGACGTTTCATGGTGTAAAACCTTGCCCGACACAGCAAAACTTCAAACATGACATGTCCCACAAATCATAACAGAACCTACCGCAGTGTTCATACATACCTTGATCGTGATATCTCTTGAACTGTTCCTGTAAATAATTTGAATCACAGGGAAATGTTAGTTGGAAGCCGAGCTCTCGTGTTTTCGCCTGATCTGACACGGCCAGTGATCAGCTGGACACAGTTTGAACTCTGAACCTTGTACAGATAGAAATCTGACCCCAATAGTGCACCGTGTTTACATACGTCACAGCTGAATACACATGCAACAACGCATGCAACATTATAGGACATATACAACTACAATCCTAACACAGTCATATACAATGTACATGTAAGTAATGCAAGAAAAAAGTATGAAAACGTGTAAAACAATGTGAGTGTAATGTATTACATGTAACAAAATCGTACACAGGCATGCAACATATCATTATGTAGTATAATGTCCTTGAACATATACATGAATGTACTGACAAATGTAACCGTACATGTATATACCCCATTGATATAAACTATAAGTAATGGAATGAACATAAGGATGAAAACTTGTAAATAGTGCCATGAATCCGTAACACAATATTTACAAAGTAATGTAATATGTAACTTTTTAAACGCATGTATTCTGTTCCGGTTGGGAGCAGGGGGGGGGTGTCACCTGTAACTGGTAAACTTTTGACCCTTGTGACCTCTGTAGTATGGAAGGTCAGTCGGTCAGCATGACCAACACAATTCTTTGTTTCTTGGCACTCTTTTGCAAGGTGCCTTAAAACTACATGTAACTAAAAGTTGGAATACACATGTCCAAGGACATTCCAATGTCCTTGACATGTCTAATGCCAAATCTTGAAGACTGACGTACATTGTGCAATTTAATTTATAACTACTATACATTAACATGTATGTCAAGGCAGGCCATTTTACATGTACGTGTAGGACAAATATGTACCAATGGTTACAATTTTTTCCTATATCCTTGTTTCGCATAAGAAAGATGAAAATTGATGTATGACTTTGTCAGACTTGTATATTATTACTATTTCTGATACCTAGTATTATTAAGAAAACCAGCTGTATGGCTCCAGGCCCAACATACATGTACCACCCAGTAAACTATACAAATGTAATTGCCTACCCACCAACACCCCCCACCCCACCATAAATTTACCTGTCGATTTCCAGGACAATAGCACTGGATTGTCTCCTTCGCTGAAAAACTCCATTGCTAAACTCTCTCCCGGCAAAACTCCTGGCATAACTCGCATTGCTCCCCGAATAAATTGACGCTGCCGCCGCAAAAGTCTGCAAAGGACACTGGCTAATCGCTTGACAGAATGTACGGCGACTATGCAAAGCCAGATTTTTCCTTGGATGTTTGGTCAATGTTGCATCGGAACTCTGCCCATTCCAGACAATATTTTTTTTGATGCAACATTTGAAAAGTGTATACTTGATGTCATCCTTAAATATGCAAATACAACCTTTAAGTACACTGTGTACGTACTACACATGATACAAACAGGTTTCGCCCAGTCGCATTGCAAAGTCACATGCCTCATGCAAATGCCTTGTAAGCTGAAGAACATGTACATGTAATACAAAAGAAGCACAGTTAACAAAAAAGTCTTTTCCTAAGTATAATTCTTAAAGAGTATCCCACCAAGACACACTACTGTATGAATATCCGAAAAAACACCTATTGCTAGCTTACCTAAAGAGCATTTTCATTATACATTGTATAGTATATTTCTCTGCCAATCTGTACTGTACATATGGGCATATAAACTTCTTGTTTGTCCTCAATATTGAAATTACCCAAATACTTCACATAAGCACTGGAATGTTTTCCTCTACCAATAACAGCTACAATACCCTTAACATAGCCAAAATGATCTCTGTCAATAACCAACTCAATAAACATTAATCAATCAATTGATAACAAATATCTTACACCAACCAGTATATATAAACATAACAATGGACAAAATTATACAAAAAAACTGCTGCATTTTCCTTGACAACTATACTTTTCACACCTTCTAAGTACCACTATTATAATATATAAAATTCTAAGCTAGAGCATGCAATTCTTACTGGATTTCCTAGGGGGCGCAGTTACACTGTAAATTCTATTCTGCTTTTGAGACAAGTATAAGCAAATATGGATACAAAACAGGTGATACCCCTTTTTACTGCAAAACAAAGTTCTGCAAGGTCTGTGTAACCTTTTCCAAGAGCAACTGATGTCTTCTTTTGTAAAATTATTGTCTACCAACTTTCTGGTATCTACAGTTCACAGGTCTTCCCAACTATCTGACCTGTTAATAGTTCAAAAATTCTGTTTTCTACTTTTAGGCTTCCCAAAATTACCCCATTTCTAAGCTGAATTTTCCCAACATCGCTTCACAATTTTGCCTTTTTAAACTCTTATCTCATGTAAGTTGTAAATAGGTCAAATATCAACATTTTCTTTGAAAATGCATCCTTCGATACATAATCTTTTTCAGTCTATAGCAGAATTTGAATCTATCAATTCTACCACAATACACATACTAATATACATTGTACTAGTGTATTGGGGATGATGTTATCCTATATTCCTAACCTGTGTTAACATGTAGCATTTGTTCATTTCGACATAGATGAAATGTTATTTGATATGATGTTGTTGATTTCTGTCTGAAAACAGTGACACTTCATACATCTTTGACTTGAAAATTCAACTCTAGCTGTTACACATGTATCAACTATACAATAGAACTGCTTTTGAACTGCTTGCAGATCCAAGCAAGATAGATAGGTGGCGTTTTTTTAAAGACTTCCTATAGGAAAGCACTTGGGTTTGCCCGAGGATCCTTCTGGTTTCGGAATCGTACTGCAAGCCACACACCAACAATCTAGAGGAACAGAAAACATGGATCAGTCACAGATTTCAACATCAATGAATGAAATAAAATTTTCAATAGAAAGTATGTAGCTTAATGTAACAATCGAATACTTTCGAAGTCTTTCAGAATAAAAAAGCTCTTGATTTGAAAGTTCACTTCAAGGATTGTACATAGAGAAAGTGCCTGTGTTTACAAGTTGTTCATCCCTCACCTTCTCTTTGGAAGTTCAGTCTATTGCCGACTATCCCTCACCACTCTACTGATAATACCTCATCTGTACAGCCGGTATAACTGCCCTTCGGCGTAACACATCAGCTTCTGTATCTGTATAGCCGGTATAACCGCCCTTCGGCGTAACACATCAGCTTCTGTATCTGTATAGCCGGTATAACCGCCCTTCGGCTTAACACATCAGCTTCTGTATCTGTATAGCCGGTATAACTGCCCTTCGGCGTAACACACCAGCTTCTGTATCTGTATAGCCGGTATAACCGCCCTTCGGCGTAACACGTCAGCTTCTGTATCTGTATAGCCGGTATAACTGCCCTTCGGTGTAACACATCAGCTTCGCAGGCATGTGGCACGGTGGCAGCTACCTACAATACACTGAATGACTTGTTACACCTAACCTTTGCACATCTAACTCCAGGAGTTGTTTAAAGCTACATGTATCTAGTGATGATGCCCAAACTGTACTTGGTGGCACCAAGTTCGAATTCCTGTAATTCTAGTTGTGCAGGTCTTAAGCCTGCCGAGGGTTGAGTCCTTACCTCTGTGAAGCTGAAGAAGAGGCCTACTCCCCCGGATACTCTCAGGGCTGTCCCTATGGTGGGTAGTAACTTCTGCATACAGGAGGGGCAGCCTGGCGCACCGTTATCACAGGGCAACTAAACAACAAATAACAACAATAAACAATCTTAGCATGAAAGTTCATCTGAGTGTGTTGGTATACTTCATTATGACAAAAAGGGCTAAGCATGAAAGTTCATCTGAGTGTGTTGGTATACTTCATTATGACAAAAAGGGCTAAATGTTCTTGCCAACACTGAGTAAATTGGGACTTAATTTTTATATAACCCTAATTTTTGGCCGACTGGACCGAATGGACCCTTCTACTGCAGCTTCCATGAACAAGGCTGACAGAGTCGGCCGAAAATTTGGGTAAGTCCCAATTTACACAGCTGCAGTGTTGGCAAGAACGTTTAGCCCATTTATGTCATAACAATGCTCAGTCATACCTGTTTCTGGTAATGACTAGAGGCACTTGAAAAAACTGTCTCGGTATACTGGTGACCACAAAAGACAGGCTACTTCATATACGCTTGCGATAAATAAGCTGAGACTTTCAAAATTGCCATATGGTCCTTATGCAGAGGTAGTCTACATGTACTCCAGGTTTGACTGAATAGAGCAATTAAGCAGGCTACACTCCTGATGAGGCAATATCAAGAAATGGCGACCATTTGTATTCACAATGGCTCTTTTGAATATGATGTATAATAGTGCACATTATCCGTCTGAATAGCCTTAATTGGTAGCTACGTGTTTACTACTCAGGGGTTTTTCTAAACAGGGGAATAAGGGAGCTGCTCCCTCATGTAACCAGCCAGCTCCCTCATACCAATTTTCAAATTGAACCCTTGTGAGTGTTATTCTTATTTTAAAAAATCCCCCCTCGGTCACTTTATTCCTTGCCATGCTTGCGATCTGCTCCCTCATGCTAAATTTTTCTAGAAAAACCCCTGCTACTTACACCAGTACACCCTGGGTCCTTGGGGTCTGCAGATGTGGTGTTGTACAGGCCGCAGCAGTTGAAGGCCTTCTGTGTGTCCGCTCTTGTCGCAGTGGCAGAATGTTTCCAGCCAAATGTTAGTAGTTGTTCCTTAAGAAAAAAAACAACAACAAAGATTCACAAATGCTGTATTGTATAGGCTTTATCATATGACATAAGTACAAAATATCTTCAAGTGTACATGACTACAATAATGTATAGATTAACATTTTTCCTGCTACCCGACTCGATAGCAAATTTAGCACCTAAACTAAAGAGGTTAAACATGTGACATTTCGTTCCTTACATGCATACTACCTTTAACCTTCAACATGCTGCTTAAACAAAATAACCCATTACTAGGCATTAGCAAACACAATCTCGTGCTGCCAAATGTTGACCTCCACTTTCAGCCTGGCTGCCTGAATGTCAGAGTAATGTACCATTAAATCTGTCAATAAATGAACTGTCCAAATGTCAAATGTGTGACATTGTTGCACATGATGTGATGGGTTAAAACAAACATGACTTAAGTGTCTTGTACTGTGTTGTAGCCTCCTATAGGTGAATAATAACTTGTGGTCTAACCTTGTATGTCTTACTGAAGGTTCAAGTATTGGTTATTGTCTAAAAAAAAAAATAACCTTGTATGTAGAACTGAAGGTTCATAAGTTATTGTCTAACCTTGTATGTAGTACTGAATGTTATTAAGTTGTAACTAACCTTGTATGTAGTACTGAAGGCCAGACAGGCACAGGAGATGGAGAATTGGATGATGAACAACAGGAACAGGATCACCATGTACTGAGGCAAGGGTCAAGGATTGTGTATCCTGTAGTAGTCAGTGTATGGTTCAAATACTAAGATGTGAAGCAAAACAGCAAAAGCAAAATACCTTACCTTGCATACCATGTATGTAAACATAAAAAAGTAAAACTAAAAGTACATTGAACACAAAGGTCTATAGTAAAACTGTGTTAACATATTATAATATATTCTGGATGATTTCTTCTCATTTTTGTATATTCCGGCATATTCCAGTGTATTCCTGTATTCAGGAAGACCCTTTAGTACTGGCACATTCCACTTGTATTCCATTTCACCTCACCTCACAGGTCCCATAGCAGTTCCATTTAGCAGGACTCATTCATGTACATTCTGGCACATTCGAGTTTATTTCTGTGTTTAGGAAGACCCCTTCACCTGCTGTACAGACTAGTGACAGTGTATTTCTGTATGTGGAAAGACCTCTTCATAGTTCATACTACAAATGTACATACATAACTAGAAATGTAACATTTGCCAAGCAAATGCATGATGTTTACCTTTGCATATGGTCTGCTCTGTTAATTCTTACTTAAACACATTCATATATATGGTGACAGGAGTCTAAATCCCTGCTGCTATAAAATTGCAACATGATGAAACCCAACACTAGTTACCATGGTGACAGATGTCTGGTTCAGCTCATTGACCTTATTTGTTTGGAGAAGAAGAAGCGGAAGAAACAGAGCAAAACTAATATGTTTTCCTTCTGCGAAGGTAAACATAATAATAAAATATGGCATTTTGGAAGACCAGTTCATAAATACTTATTGACATGAAAAGGATACGAAGAAGAGCAGGACTTGGTGATGCTTGACCGCTCCGATCAGACCAATGATGGCGATGAAGAGCAGGAACACTCCGCTGGCAATGATTCCACCAATCAGAGAGACGCTGGTGACCATGGCCATCGCTCGACCGTACGCTGCCACTCCGATCATGATGAAAGCTACCAGCTGGCAAAGGTACAAAATTATTCAGTAAGTTAGACTTCCTGACCAGTGAAAGTGGGAGAGACCTGAAACCAGTTAAACTCACTGAATGTCTGAAAGAATTTCCAAGCAGATCCTATGGTGGCAATACTGTATGTCCATCGATCATGATGATAAGAGGAGTGACCATTAGTGTTAATTTAGTGCAGCTATAGCCACTGGCATGGTCACTCCGCTGGCCATGGCACGGCCATACCCAGCATGATGAAAGCTACCAGCTAGGGAAAAATGATGGAGATACAAAATCATACAAGTAGTAGTACCTTTTGATCATGAAAGTGATCATCTCAAACCTGTTTAGCTCACTAATTCTCACTTCTTCCACTGGTCGTGACAGAGAAGACAGATGCTATGTAGTACCGGTATTTACAGGTTCATTGTACCAGGGACATTCTAGTTCCTTAATACTAGTTCCTCTTTTCAAAATTTGACCAGTAGTGTTTCACATGAACAGCAACAGTTGGGATTTTCCTAACCTCTTGGTCCAGAGGCAGACTTGCTGGACTACACACGTTGTAGTCACTAAAATTAGTGTCTGACAATTATCAGAATCACTTCTATATCAATTTACGGATGACACCTTGATACCAATTAAGCCGTTAAAAGCGGTGTCGCCTTAAGTGTATTTGTCCTGTATCCTTGGTGCACCTGCTCCTCAGCTCTTAAATACAAGAATGAGCAGGTGGACATACAGGAAAAACAAAGACTTAAGTACTTAGTATAAGGCAAGATGGATTTTACAGATTACATCAAGGCAACAAAGATCATAAGATACACTACATATACACACATTAAACATAATTTATGAATCTGCTGAAGGCATGTCTATATATAGTAGTCATCAAAGGTTGTATTTCAGGCAGTGTATGTTGTTTTGTATTGATGATTGATGGATTGCTCATCAGTATGAGATTTGGCAAGTGGTTAGTATATGACCTGTCAAAGAAATTGTTAGATTCGGGCCCCCTGGTGGCTGTCTTTGGTACTGCATGGAAACTTTGGGTTTTGGTGTAGAATATCAATCTTAATTAAATCCCCACAAATTTGTACCATGTGACACCATCCATAGTGTACAGAAAGTCAAATGGAAAAATAATGATTTGCTATTTTTTCTGTATTTTTTTTGGATAATAGGATCAGGAAGTTTGGAAGAAGGGTTCTTTTCTTTGGACAAGGTTCTGTGCTTGATCGTAAATTTATGACAAACGGAAGTGCATGTACTGAAACACGAACCTGTGAAAATAAATAAAAAATCACAGAAATCAAAGAATTTCACAACCATTTTCTCCCTCAGTTTCGCTCATTAACTTAAGATTTATAAACTGGGAAAAATCATCCTTATTTTGTGTAGCTTGCGGTTAAAATTTTAACGATTTTTGTCTAATTTATCTTTAGTGGACACGTCACCTGTGTGTGGATAAGCAGTCATGTAAGACAGGACAGAAAAACAGCAACCGGCACGCGCTAAGAAAATAACAAAATACTTACGATATAAAGGATGTTCAGCGCCGCTAGAGCGTTCTTCGAGCAATGGAACCCCCCGCACATCTTGTAAAATTTTTCCCTGCCCTCAAAATCTCACAAAAACGTAATAAATAGTCGCCGAACACGAAGCAAAATTTTCAAGGCTTCGTCTAACCAAAATGGCCGAACAGCCTGACGTCATGGTCAGGTGATTTCTTGTAGACTATGCCAAAATTTCAAAAATAGTAAAAATGTTAAAAATTCAGAAAATTATTCATATCTTTCTGCAGTATGAACTAGTCTTCTTGAGTTCCCAAATATAAAATTTCTATATTATAAAGCACACAAATTTTATTAATGTATTGATTTTTTAAAATAATTTCTACGCTTATCCTCCCTGTGTGAGAGTGGGCTAGTCCTGCCACGCTGTAGGGTCAAAGTTGAGAAGACGTGAGGGGGAGGGGCGTTACCTGTTCAGGTGTGTTGTTTAGGTAGAAGGGTCCTTTAAGGGTCTCTTAGATTATGTAAGACCGGTTCAACAATCCTTGAGACACTCTTTGGAAAAGGTGCATGGTCCTCTGCCGCTATACTGTTCAAAATACATATTATTTTTGTATTGCGCACTTTCAGTGATATGAAAGTTACATAACATCGATGTTGGTAAGTTTGTTGATTGATAAGTTAATTGGCTGGTTGGTTGATTGGTTGGTTGGTTGGCTGGTTGGTTGGTTGGTTGGTTGGTTGGTTGGTTGGTTGGTTGGTTGGTTGGTTGGTTGGTTGGTTGGTTGCCGCACGGTTGGTTGGTTGGTTGGTTGGT